CTTCCCAGCCCCTGTGTGTCTGTTCTAAATGCCTGTGACAGACCTCAGGGAATAGAATTGAACAGTTGCCTTACTGTGCCTTGAACTGCCTCAAATTAAAATTCTGGATATGCAAGATGTGTAAATGCATTTACTGACTTGGACTGTTTCTCATCTGCCTTGTAAAATTGGTATCAAACCTCATTTCTTAAGCTAATAGTGCACACACCATACTCATTTCTCTAGCATGGATCTTCGTTTTGGAAAGATAGGTTTGAATTCAATGATTTAGTCAAAGTTTGGAAATCAAAAGACTCTTGAACACTTAAGTTATTGGCTTAGGCTGTATCACGTATCCAAGATATGTATAGGTCTCTTGTTAGTATAGATTTAGAGAGCTCTATTAGTATTTTCCATCACTTTATTTCTCTACCCCATCTCCAATGATAGGAGTGCTTTGAGGAAAAACACCTTGTTCAGTATCAGAAAGCAAAATCAGTGCTAAAGTTGGAGAAACGATGCTGAATTATTGTTAGACAGGAGGTAGATTATTTTCTGTCCAAAGATTGTAAAGCAGAAGTTTTACTTGGGCTGTCTTGTGAATGGGTTTTTCTTTTTGCTAGCTAGCCCATTTTCATTATTTTTGCTTTCTATTAAGAAGAATCTTAAATTGAAGATTACATTTTGCTTCATTTGAAAGGAAAGTGCATTTAAGATGCTACTGGTCTGTGTCATCCAATATGTAGTTCTTGAAATATAACTAAGTGGAACTGAACTTTTATTTCTCTTAATTTAAGTGGTCATATGATGGTGATGGCAATTCTGGTAAACAATCAGCTGTAGAGCTTCAAAAGGCCTGAGAAAGTCTGAAAGCTGCAGGGTTCAGGACACTGCATTTAGTGGTAAAGAGAATATAAATATTCCAGTTGCAGGTTTGTTAATCAGATTTCAAATCTGTCATCACCAAATGATAAATACTAACAAGTCTTCTTAAGCTAGTTTAGATGTTAATCTTTTTCTCTGTGACAAATGGTATTTTAATTAATAAAGGGTTTTTAAGATAGTTTTGAGCTTTTTGTTGCCCATTCTGGGGCTTGTACTCAGGGCCTGGATGCTGTCCCCGAGCTTTTTCAGTCAGGGCTAGTGCTTTACCATTTGAGCCATAGCTGTACTTTCAGCTTTTTGGTAGTTTAAGTGGAGATAAGAGTTTCATGGACTTTTCCTTCTGGAACTGGCTTTAAATCTCACTCAGTCCTCAGATCTCAGCCTCCTAAGTAGCTAGGATTACAGGTGTGAGTTACCTACCCCACCATATTTATTTTTAATGATAAATTATTGAAATAGCCCGTTACCATCTAAAAAAACCTACATCAATCTGTCATATGGGGCTTTCTGTAACTTAATGAAAGGAAGATGTTGAACAATAGAGATTTTCTTACTGACTTTTGGAAGAAAACTTTAATCATTTGTTGATGTCCTAATAAAAATTTGGTTTTGAATCTGAGGCCTGAACGTTACAGATTACACTAATACTTTCCAATATCATTAACCTTAATGTAATTTGGCTCTTAAAGACTGTCTTTAGGAATTGGAACATAAGTACTGACCTCAGTAACCCTTAGAATTTAATTTTTTTTAGAACTCACATTTTGAGTATGGGTGATTTTGAAACTCCTTGGGAGAACAGAGCTGTTAATGGCCAGTAGTGAGTGACTGCCTAAGCCAGGATCTGAGGTATTTACTCTTGTAAGGACAGTTATTTCTCTTTATAGACAAGGAAGCTGATGGACTGAAAGGTCACTTACAGCCCATCATTGTGGATCATGTGCAGACTTTGTCCTCCAGTACTGCTGGATTTGTTTAATTCTTGATCTTTTAGTTTCTGATTTTTGATACTGACTTCCTATTAACTGACGGAGTTGTGTGTCTTAATAGGTGTTTTTTGCTTCCAATTCAGCCTTTTGAGATTTTAGGAGGAAAGGTAGGAATTGCTGAACTCTAGTCTGCCTGCAGCTCTAGTTGAGGAAAGTTGGGTTCCACTTAATTGGCCTAAGGCAAGAGGAGAAACCTGTGCTGCCTATGAATTCTAGAGGTCCAGCAACTGCTCTGCTGGAAGGGAGCTGGGGAGATAGAACTGCTGGCATACCTGTCAAGAGTCAGTCTCTACCCTGGGTATGTAGCCGCTCAGTGGTAGTGCACTTGCCTAATACGCACAAGTCCCCAAGACCATAAGAAAAAAAAAACCACCAAAACCATTACTGTAAACTTAGTGGGTTTGTTGGGTTTTTGTTTGTTTTTGTTTTTGTCAGTCCTGGGGCTTGAACTGTAGGTTTGGGCACTGTAGGCTTGGGCACCTGAGCTTTTTTTGCTTAAGGCTAGGAAGCCACATCACCACTTCCTTTTTTTTTTAGTAGTTATTGGAGATAAGTCTGCTGGGCTTTGATCTTTCATGCCCAGGCTAACAGTCCTCAAATCTCAGCCTCCTGAGTAGCTAGGATTACAGGCCTGAAGCCACCTAGTACCTGGGGAGGTATGTGTTTGTTTTTTTAATCTAAAGTTTGTTCAAAGGCAGTAGACTACTGTAATTTTTTAAAGCAGTTTTGTTCAAGTTGGTTAAGACTTCTGATAATTTCATTAAAATACTTGATATTTTTTTCTTTTTTGGTCGGTCTTGGGGCCTGAACTCTGGGCCTGGGTGCTGTCCCTCAGCTCTTCAGCTTAAGGCTAGCACTCTACCACTTTGAGCCAGTTTTCTGGTGGTTAATTGGAGATAAGAATTTCATGGACTTTCCTGCCCAGGCTGGCTTTGAACCGCCATCCTCAGATCTCAGCCTCCTGAGCAGCTAGAATTACAGGCGTGAGCCACTAGCGCCCAGCTTGGGGACTGAATTTTAAAGGCCTGGTTTTACTGGGTAAATGGCTTTACCACTTTTGTTGGTCGTGGGGCTTGAACTCTGGACTTGGGCGCTGTTCCTGTGCTCTTCAGTTCAAGGCGAGCGCTCTACCACTTGAGCCACTTCTAGTTTTTGCATGTTTTATTGGAAATAAGACTCTCACGGACTTTCCTGCCCGGGCTGGCTTTGAACTGTGATCCTCAGATCTCAGCCTCCTAAGTAGTTAGGATTATAGGCATGAACCACCAGCGCCCAGCTTGCTTTACCACTTTTCACACTCAGCCCTACAATAATCATTTGTAAGGTGGGTATGTAACATTGAGGTTCTGTTAAATAGTTAAAATCTAGGATACCTATGGTAATGTAGTGAAAATTTCAAGTATTTATATACTTCAGGCTTAATATTGTTCTTGGTGAAAATTTCAAGTATTTATATACTTCAGGCTTAATATTGTTCTTGGTCAGAGGTCTTGTAGACATCCTGTTAAAAGCCACAGCAGTATGGCTTTGCCGGTTACTGAACCTTAATAGTTTGTGAACACTGAAATTGAATGCCATGTAATTGAAAAATGTAAAAATCCCAGACCAGTGGGGGCTGACTTTGCCAGCCATGTTCTAGGCAATAATTTACAGGCTGTCATCAACATGGAAGGACATTTGCTCATTCAATAAGGAATAGGATTTGAAGGATACCTTTCTCTACTATGTATCAGATAGTCACTGGCTCTTTGTGCATTTTCCTCTTCCTTCCTCACAGCATTTGTTACCTTCCAAATACTCTTAACATTTTATCAGTGACAAAGCCAAAGTGATCTACCTATAGTATCCATATGTCCTTATTTGGACTATATGTCCTTATTTAGACATGGACTAGAGTCCATGGCTAAAGGATTAACTGGTATGACCGCAAAGCTCAGTGTATGTAAGGTAATTCTGGCTAATAAACCAAGCCTCTGCTTTTATTGGAAAGTGTTAGGACTTGACTCTGGTAAACAATTTCATTAGGAACAGCATGATTGGTAATGTGAATGCTGGATTCTGACTTCATTGTGCTCCACGTTGTCAGCTGCTTTTTGTGCACTTACTCATTTCAATGAAATTTAACAATCTACAATCGAGTTACTAACTTTACAAAGATTTAGGAATTTTCCTTGTATTCATGGTGTTTCTCAAGCCATCAAGACAACATGGCTACTGTTTTGCAGGTGCTGCTGGTGAGTAGCAGTCGCTACCCAGACCAGTGGATTGTCCCAGGAGGAGGGATGGAGCCAGAGGAGGAGCCTGGTGGTGCTGCTGTGAGGGAAGTTTATGAGGAGGTGAGATGCCTTTCACACACACTGGGGGCTTCACAAGCAGGCTTTTCGTTGTACAGGAAGGCACTTGATAGGTAACCCTGAAGAGATGGTACAAAGACTGGTCACTAGAATGTGGTCTGATGCAGCATTTTCAAGTATAGCTGGCATTTCACTTATATACACTTTTTTTTCTACCTGGAAAAATAGAGCTAAAATCAGCATAGAAGTTCCTAGAATTGTACTAACATGCACTTTGTCATTTTTTACTATTACGAGAAAATAAATATATCTCACCTTTTTTTTTAATAGGCTGGAGTCAAAGGAAAATTAGGCAGACTCCTGGGCATATTTGAGGTGAGTTATGAAAGTAGTCTTCATTTTACTGTTAATAGACTTCACAATTCCTTCCTAACTAGCTAAGTCTGTGGCAGCTTCCTGAACCATTCATTTCTCTAAAACTACCAGTAGCAAATTAGTCATGAGGATTAGGGCTTTTTCAGGTAACACCATGTTAATACAGCATTTCCATTGCTTGACAGTATATATAAATCACTATCCCCCAAAGGATCTGTGAAGATACAAATGCAATTTCATAGAACAGGTGCTAAAAAGATAGAATTCATTTCTATATAATCTCATGCTGAGGCCAGATGAAATTTCTTGGGAGAGAATTTGAAAAGGGTACAAGCAAAAGTCAGGTTCTAGACCCAAGCTGTACTAGGTGAACCATTTGCATCTTATTTTTAGACCTTAGGAATTCAGATATAGATCCTACTTGTGCAGTACTTGGTAGAATTGATGATGTTTACCAGAATATAGTAATTATTAAAGTTCTTAGTGTTACTCAGAAATCTAGAATGCAATTATTTTAAACAGTTCCACAGCACCATCTCCTGGTTAAACTGAAAAGCACACCTTTTTCTGTGATTGAAAGGCCATGGTACAAGTGAAGTATTTTTTTTTTTAATATCCACACAGGGTCTTTGAAGAAAATTCACATTATTGTACTGGAAGAAAAATTTTTTCCCCTTTTTTTTGGGTCCGGTCATGGGGCCTGAACTCTGGGCCTGGGCACTGTCCCTCACTTCTTCAGCTCAAGGCTAGCACTCTACCACTTGAGCCACAGCGCCACTTCCGGCTTTTTTTTTCTTTTTGCTTATGTGGTGCTGAGGAATGGAACCCAGGGCCTCATGCATGCAAGGCAAGCACTCTACCACAGAGCCACCTTCCCAGCCCCCTGGAAGAAAATTTTAATTGCCTTAAAAATGCCTTTGTGGGGGGACATATTTCCATATACTGAAAAATTATAATTAGGTCAGTAGTTCTCTTACATTGCATAATTGTGTGTTTAATGCCAGTATTGGAGCCTCTAGCTTGTTGTTGAGCCACACATCCACCCAAAGGTTTTGGTGGTTAATTGGATAAAAGTCTGACTTTACTACCTGGACTGGCTTTGAACTTTGATCCTCAGATTCACTCCCCTAAAGAGTGGCTAAGACTACAGGTAAAAGCCACTGGCACCTAGCCTGTTTTCTACTAGCTTGTAGATACCTGAGCTTGAATTCAGAGCCTTGGGAGCTGTCCCTGAGGCTAGCACAGCCATTTGAGCCATAAGTGCACTTCTAGCCTTTTTTTTTCCTTTTTGGAGTTTGAGATAAGAGTCAGATACTTTCTTGTCCAGGCTGGCTTCAAACTGCAATCCTCAGCTCAAAGCCTCCTGAGTAGCTAGAATTACATGTGTGATCCACTGGCCCCTGGTCCTGGTTTAATGTTTTATATAAACTCATTTTGCTAGATTCTAAGACTTAGTAGCCTGCATTGGGACATAGTATCCTAATCAACACTGATTTATTTCCTCTGAAGTTTCAGACACTTGATTGCTAACTGCTGTAATTAAAATGCTTTTCTTTTTATATTCAAGCAGAACCAAGACCGAAAGCACAGAACATATGTTTATGTTCTTACAGTCACTGAAATATTAGAAGACTGGGAAGATTCTGTTAATATAGGTAAGTTTCCGATTCTTTGGCTATCTGAATTCTCTTCAGTGACTACTTACAGCCAATTTCCATCTCAAGTTACTTTTGGTGGCTTTTTAAGAGAAGGAATAACTATGCACATTGATTATTGCCTTGAAATTCTTCCTCTTATTTATTTCTTAAAACATTACTTTGGGGGTAGTGGGTTAGTGAAGGAAACAATGTTGATTGGATAAAGCTTCTTAAAATTGACTTTCTACTAACCAGTTTCATACTGTTCTCTAGGAAGGAAGAGAGAGTGGTTCAAAGTAGAAGATGCAATCAAAGTTCTACAGTGTCATAAACCCGTACATGCAGAGTATCTGGAAAAACTAAAGCTTGGCTGTTCCCCAGCCAATGGAGACTCTACAGTCCCTTCCCTTCCAGATAATAACGCCTTGCTTGTGACTGCTGCACAGACTTCTGGGGTGCCACCCAGTATAAGGTAGAAAGAATTTGGAGGCCTTCTCTACCACATGTGATCTCATGGGGAGAGGCTTCTTCACTTTCTTTGGAAAACATCTGAATGACGCAAACTGAATTTGCCGTGCAGGGATTTCAAACAGTTTTGCATGTATTTCAGATGCTTTCAAGTCTTTTAAAACAGAATAGTGTAAAAATATTTTAAGAAGCCAAAGCCATGTGGGACTTTTTTTTTTAAGATGCCTTAACTGTGCCCCACCCGTTATTTTGGTTGCTGTTTTTCACAGAATTTTTTCAGTTTTGTCATTGACATCAGTCTGGTTTGTCAGATCAATTTGCTTATAGGTATATTTCCCCCCTAAATTGTTGCCTTCACTACACTGACATAAAGAAACATCCATCCCCAAACTTCATAAGATCACATTCTTAATTCCTAAATTTAAGGCTTGAGATATTTCTCTATAGTCCAATAACTGAAAAAGGATTTTTGATTTGCTGTTTTCAGGAATTTACCAGCACCTTTGGCTGGATGTTCACAACTAGTATTATATCATACCAACCTAATAGTATAGCTATTTCCCCTGAACTACAATAGTAGTGTAACATGAAATGGAACTCTAACGTTTTAGGGAAATATTTTTAAGCAAAATGCATGTAGTAAGTATACCCTATCATGAAAACTTACTCATGGAATCCATTTAGCATGGTCAGTCAATTGCCAGTTCTTTATAATTCCTCGTTTATACAGTGCATATTTCCCTCAATGTAAATTGTTCTTAAAATGAATTTTCAGTTTTCTAGTTTAGTGCCACCTCTTCAGTTAAATTTCCATGTTTACCAATAATCACACAATTGGGAGTCTAACATTCAATGCCAGTCAGTGATGACCGCATCAGTGAGTGGCCTTCCAGACCGTTCAGTTGTTACAGGCTGAAAATCAAGGATCTCTCTCTCTTCTAGGTTGTCATTAAGTACTCTGTCACAGAACTTTTAGGGGTAGTGGAATATACCCAAATTAAGAATTGACTTCATCTTACACTTGTCTTATACTCCCTTAAAATCAGGCGCCCCATGTAAATACCTACGTCCCTGAACTGAATCTCATGCTCTTCTCCAATGAGATCAAAAACAAGGGGAAGGAAAAAGCCTTTGACTAAGATATGGATGAGGAAGAGTGAAAGGTCATTTTTTATGTAGACATTGTTAGCCTTTTGTAAATACTGTAACTGGCAAGTATGAAATAGAAAAGGTATAGCTAAAGCATTTGCCCTGTAAGTTGTTAACCTTTAAATATGATTGCTGCTAAAAATAGTCCTTAAAGGAAAATTGGTGCCATTTTGAAAAGGAGATCTTGTGCCATAAATGCAGCAGAACTAAACATAAACGTTAGTTCACCAACTAGTGCTGTCAAATAAATGAATAAAGTAGAAAAACCTAACCAATAATGTTTCACTCTGAATTATGTAGTGTAATAAACTTGGATCATCCAGGATTTTTGTATTTTTCTTTGTACAGAGCTTACATATTCTGGGTGTTTGTGGTTTGTTTTTTTTTTTTTTAAAGGAGACCTTTTAAATCCCACAAATTGATGCTTTCTATCAATTACCAATGGATTTAAGATTTTTCTCTAATCTCAAGTTTCTTTAAATTACATACCTAACAAAAGAGAAACTGGATTGCTTTTGTAAATAAGATTGCTTCAACCCAAAATGCTGTCACACATACTTAGGGAGGGATTTATCTTGTACATGATATTCTTAGAGGTAATAATGCATGAACTTATTTTATAAACTCTCGGACTGTGTATTGTCCTGTAAAATATGTACAGTATTAGTGAACCATCTCTAAAAGTTAGTCTATAAATATTGTATAGTTTTCTTTGGTCAGAAATTTGGACAAACAGTGCCACTTGAGTCAGGATTTTCTCTAGTACTATTTAGAAAACCACGTCTTTAGTCTATGCAGCTCACAAAGATTCCACAAGAGCTCCAAGGAAAATTCTATTAAAAGCTGACATTCTCAGGCTAAGTAGATGAATCTGTTCAAGACAGCAATGTCTATCTCAGTCAGTCCTCCAGAGTTAGCAGATGAGACCAACAGTTGTGCTTATTTGTGGGTTGGTTGGATGAAACTGGGCAGCTGAATTTCTCAGTTCCATATCCCTCATAAAATAAACAGGAAGGTAAATTGACTTCCGCCCCGTAGGTTCTTGTTGTAAAGAGATGAGATTTCTCAAGCAAGCACATGCCAGCCAATTTCCTGTTGTACTATTCACTGTATATGGCAGCAAAACAAGGGGAGAAATGTTGTACACACATTCTGAATTATTTTGCATGGTCTCATTTTGAGATGGTCTCATTCTAACTGGTGTAAGAATCTTGACTTTTCTTTTTTACATTTGAAACATCAAATAAAAATTGGAACATGATCTTTGTGGGTTTTTTTTAATATATCTGTAATGCAAAGAAACCATTTTAGCATAAGGGACATGCTTTTTCACTTTGAAATGCATAAAAATGCACACATACATCCCAATGCAAAATGTATTGCTCAATATGGATAGGTTCATAACAGTGCTCAACCGGTCAACCTAACCACAGCCACTGTCCACACAAAAACCAGTCTCACGAGTCTGTCAGTGGTTACATCACTCTGCACTTCATTTAACATGAGATTACTGGGTTAAAAGGACCTAAGGTGTGGGGCTGTGTTGTAGGCACTTGTGTTACCAGTTGTTTTGAAAGGCTAGTAAAGTGAACAACACCCCCATTACATTTCCAAACACATGCTGTTTACTGAAGATCAGCTTGAGAATCTTCATATGAAAATACCTATTCAAATTCCATTGAGTTAATGTCAGTTTTGTTAAGGAAGGACTGTTTTGGGAGGAAGCAGCTTTGTACTTAGCTTTGTTTTCCCACCACAACTTTAGGATTCTCTACTGGTCTCTTCAAGCAGATTTTTGCACAAGAATATTAATATGCTTAACTACAACTTGGACTTAATGCTTTAACAAGTTACAGTGTTTGTGTAGTTTATTCTGCCACAGGTGAAATTCCCATAAATTTTAGGTGCACCAGAAGCTACACATCAGCATTCACTCATGGCCTACCACTGGGAACTACGTTAATGTTTACCTTCACATACAAAACTTCCAAAATTCTTTTAAGATTTTATATCATTTTCATGTAGATGCAATACTATCTCCAAATATGTATCGGGTAATACAGAGCTATGCAGCAAAAGTTGCTACCTTGCATTTAAAAAATATTTTGGGGCTGGATCTGGAACTTGACCACTCCATACTTAACTTGGTTTGCTGACAGCTAATGTTCTACCACTTGAGCAATGCCTCCAGCTGGGCCTTCATTGCTGTTTAACTTGGAAGTGCTAGGCTGGCTTTGGACTTCTGATCATCCAGACTAGATTACAAGTGAATTTTATACTAACTAGCCAAGTGGACATCCCATTTCTTGTCAAAAGGCACTATGACACAACATAGACAAAATCCTCTTCTGAAATTTTATTCCATAGCCAAATTACTGAAATATTTTAGTCACAATTATTTGGCTATCAATGTGTACCAACCCTAAAAATAAACATGACTTTTGACCAAATAATTGCTAGTTGGGCATCTAACAAGTGGAGACAGATTTATGTACAAAAAGTAAGATAAAGTACAATAAACCATGGGAATAAATGCACAGCAACAGAAGGGTAATGGGCAACTTTCATTACATAATGGAGTATTAGACATCAAGTGATCCCAGTAAAAAATGTGTAAATGAATACACAGCTCTTTGTAATTGAGCATTAACTATTAACTGTATTTAAAATAAATATAAAACTTTTCATCCAATATTTGCAGCTCTATCAATCTTGTCAACAGAAATACATGGACAAGTTACACAACCAAAATACAATTAAAGATGTGTTGCAGAACTTATGAAACAATTGTTTCCAAATACTGAGATGTGTAACAAAGGGTTTCTCTGTAATTTTAATGCTTTTAACAACATTATAACTTGGCCTTTTTACTACTTTGTACAACTTGAGCCATGATTCCAGCCTGTATTACTTTAGTTATTACTGTTTTGAATAGGTTCTGCCTACAATCCTATTTCACCGCACCCAGCTTTCTTGCCTAGGCTGGCCAGAAACCTAGATCACAGCTCATAATCCTGATAAGGATTTTATTTTATTTTTTAAAAAACAGGTGTAAGGCACCACTATTGAGCTGAATTTCAGGTAATTTGAGAGGAGTGGGGGTGAGTAAGGGGCCAGTCCTGGAGCTTGAACTGTGCATGGGCACTGTCCCTGAGCTGCTTTTGCGCTCTGCCACTTGAGCCACAGCTCCACTTCCAGCTTTTTTTGAGTAGTTTATTGGAGAGTCTCACAGTTTCCTGCCTGGGCTGACTTCAAACTGCAATCCTCAGATCTCAGACTCCTGACTAGCTAGGATTACAGGCGTGAGCCACTGGCACCAGGCTTTATATGAAAAAAAGGTCTTAAATGCTGCACCTGCAGCTTAACAAAATATACAAATATTAACAAAAGAAAACAAAAACTTGGTCCTTATCTAAGAAACAATGTGCCAGCATAACAGATAGATTGGGATTAGCCCAGCCTGCAGCCAGACTAAGTTTGTGTGCTATACAAAACTTTAGGTGGTTGAAAGAAATCTTGGGGCGAAAATTACCGGGGCCTGTTTTACCAATTATCTATGAATGTTTCTAACTAGTGACTGACTAGAGATAGACTTATTTTTCACAAAACCAATTAATATTACTATTAAATGGGAACTGCAAAAGCATGGCCTACTTCTATGGTTTAACCACACAGTCCTTACTGGCAAAACAAGAAAAACAGCATCAAGTATAGCTGGTATAGCCAGGGAAGAGGGAAGAGCCTACAGATCAGTAGTAAAGCAAATGAAAGGCATGGCCCTGGATTCAACCCCAAGCATCACAAAAAAATGGCACAACCAATGTGTTTTCTGTCTTGAGTTTTTGAGATGGGCTCTTGCTATATAGCCCAGGCTGGCCTCTAACTTGTGATTCTCCTACTTTGGATTGCAGGTGTGTCTGGTTATTTGTGAATTTACTCATGAATTTAAACTAGACATATTGAACTTATGGGAGCATTTAAGAACTGCTGAGATTTAATCTAGACATTTCAAAAGCAAACCTGTGGCAGGTCCGAATATACCCCATAATGTTAAAAGGGAATTGTGCTAGACATTCTATATGCTAAGCACTAAGTTACTAACCTTTGATTCTATAATTTTTGTTTCATACACAACTGAATGGCTGACAGAAATGTTACTGCTCATTAATACCCTAAAAATCTTTTTTTTTTTAAATTCTGTAATGAAAAAGGTCTAAATACTTTTCCACAAGAAACTGAAATTTTTACAAAAATGAACATAAACTGGGTTTGGGACCAAGTCTTCATTATAAATGACACATCAACATGCACATATGAAATGAGATCAGCTCAAGGGTAGCAATTACAAAATTGGAGGAAAGGGCAAGAATTCAAACATGCAGAATGCCACATTTCAGAAATTTTAATTGAGGTCTTTTTTGTAGCAATGGTAACTTGCCTGATTTGTACCATCATAAAGCTATAGCAAAGTCAACTTTTAGAATAGATACTATCCCCAGACTCAGTGATACAATGGAAAACAAAGGAGGGTACAGTTACAAAACAAAGTATCACCAGTCCAATTGGTGGATTACACATTTTTATTCAACTTCTTTCAGATTACATCCATTTGCTTTTGTTATTTAAAATATAAACCTCAATAAATTTCCTTAAGCATGCTAAATATGTTGCTGCCACACCCAATGCATTGTTGGATTAAATATTACATTAATTAGGTTCCCT